CCACACGGCCGGTGAGGAGAGGGGCTGCCTGCAGCGTGTGTGCTCTGCTCTGCCCCAGGAGTGCCTGTGCCAGGCACCTGCTGTCGCCCTCACAGGACCACAAAGTGTGGACTCTGGGCCTGGCCTCAGAAGGCCCTGGGTCCAGCCTTGGTTTCTCCTTGGGCCCGCTCGCTCCCAGGGGGCTGAGGATGGAGAGGTTCACGGCAAGTGTTTGGCTCTTGAAGAGCCCGTAGGGGTTCACGTCTGCCCAACTCCACCGAGTGCCAGGAGCTGTCCCTGAGGAAGGCCCCAGGTGGAGGTCTCACCGCCCGCTGAGTGACAGCCACCTCAGCATGAGCCGGCACCCTGGTCAAGCTTCATGGGAGATTCCTGTTAATAGGAGGGGACTCCAAAAAGTTCATGAAAAATGCATATTATGAAAGCACTGTGCCTGGATTTCAAAGTGTTTTGCACCAAAAGGAACTTATCTGGGGCAGGTGCTCAGCCCTCCACCCCCTATCAGAATTCCTGGATCTGATGCCAGGCGCTGGCTCCTGACTGCAGCTTCCTGCTCCTGCAGACCCTGGGAGGCACTGGGTTCCTGCCACCCACGTGGGGAGACCTCGTTGAGTTTCTACCTTCTGGCTTCAGCTCAACCTAGCCCTGGCCGTGACAGGCATTTGGGGAGTAAACCAATGGGTGGTTGTGGTTTCTCCTTCCCTCTCCCCCTTCCTCCCCCTCCCCCTCCCTCTTAAAAATTAGAAAACAAAATTATCTTTCATTTTCCATGAACTTTTTGAGTGCCCGTGAACACAGAGCAAAGGCCTCCCAGTTTGAGAACACAGTGTTTTTGAGCGATGCCGACTTATGGACCAGTTCGTAGAAGACCGGGGGGCCACTGGCATCCCCTGTGCTGGGTGCACAGCAAAGGTGCCCATTGTGTGCTGTTGGTCTTGGGCCTGCTGTCTGCACCTTGGAGCCTCCAGCTAAAGCCAGAACCAGGGGCTCTCCTGGCCTGCAAACGCTGTCCCTGCACTTGAGGGACATCACTTCGTGCCTGTGGACATCACAGCTACATGACCCCCAGGCTCTGTGTCCTCTTACTTGTGTTGTGGCAGTAGCCACCTGGTAGGAGGCCATGGCCCCAGGCTTTCCTCCTGCAGCCTGTCCTCGGGCCGATGGTGCTCCTGGTCTGAAGTATTCCCTGGGTCCTGGTTGCGGGGAAGAAAACCCCAGCATTCCTGCCCCCAGCAGCCGTGCTCTGTGGCTGCCTCTGCTGGGACCCTCTGGAGGGCCTGGCCAGCCATACCCCCAGGCCTCTGCTGGTGGCCAGATTGCCTGCCTCCTGTGCCATCAAAGTCCTGCCGTCCTCCAAGGCCGGGCCCTCACACTCCCCTGCAGCCCAGCAGGCACCTCGGGGTGCTGTCCCCAGGCCTTCCCTGGGCTGGACCAGTGTCACTTTTGGAAGCGGCTCTTGTGAGGTCCCGGTGTGTGCTCCCCACAGGAGATGATGTGATGCATTCAAGCAAGGGAAAAGGACTGCACCCCCCCACACACCCAGGGGAGCTCAGGCCTCCTCCCCCTGCTAGGAGCCCCCTGCTTGCTGAGCGCAGTCAGGCTCCGCAGACAAGAGGGGCCTTTAGACCTTGCTTGGCCCGACCTGCCTTTCACAAATGGGGAGGCAGAGGCCCAGGGCAGGAAGGGGAAGCAAACTCCACCCCCTTCCCGAGACTCTGTTTTCTCACGTGTAAAATGTAGATAGTTGTCTCCATCCTGGGGGCCCCACAGGGTTGCCAGGGGGGTGAATGGGATTCTGGAGGCCCAGCAGGCTTTGGTGACCGGTGTGGGGTCATTGCTGCCATGCGGACACCTGCTCAGTGTTCACTGTGTGCCAGGCACCGTGAGTGTCAGTTTGAGTGGTCTCCACACCCACCACACGGCCTGGGCTGCAGCCTCTTCATGCCCCTGCTTTACTAAGGAGCCAGTGGAGGCACAGAGAGGCTGAATGACCTGTTGGAGGTTATAGAACTAAGAAGAGGCAGGTCCAGGGTTTGAACCCATGAAGTCTGGCTCCAGAGCCCTGACACCTTGCCTCTGTGCCAAACTGACTGCAGCCCTTGGGGTCCAGTGGTAGCATGTGGGCTTGAGCCTGGGTGGTCTGCTAACTGCCTGGCCAGCTTTGCAGCCTGGCAGGGCCAGGTCTACAGACAGGTAGTTTCCTCGGTGATGGAGGACCTGGCCTCCCCAACGTCTCATGCAGTGAGGGTTCCCTACCCTCAGCCAGCTTCCTGTGTAACACTTATAATCACATGGCTGCACCAGGCCCTAGATCAGCCTCTTGCCCCACATATGCCAAGTTCTCCTTACCCAGAGTGCATCACTCTCACAGGACAAGGTCTCCTGCAGAGGGTACCCACCACACCACAACACTTAGCACACTGGCTGCCTGCTGGGTACATTTCCTCCACCAAAGGGCAGGGCGGAGTGGTGGGCAATAACGGCAGAGAAATCAGTTTGAGTCCTGGCGCGTAGCAGGTGCTCAGTACCCCCGGCAGTGGGTGCTAACGCCAGCGCCACCTGAATTAGAAAAGTCTGCTCTGGAAGCGGGTCCTGGCTGACTTAGGAGTTGCCCTCCCTTCATTCAGCAAGGAGTTCCCTGTGCCTGCCAGGTGCCCGGCCCCTGTGCTGGAAGTCGGGGGAGAGATGTGAGCTCGCAGCTTGTGACCCCGAGTGCTTGTACCTTAGTGGGAGAGGCAGGCAACGAATGAGCCGAGCATGGAAACGGGGAGGCTGGGGTGTGTGATCCGTTCTTCAGAAGGAAAGGAAAGTAGGAGCGAGGCAAGCGGTGGAAGGGGTCTCCTTGTAGAACGCGACAGTCAGGGAAGGGCTCCCAGAGCAGCTGGTGCGGGCGAGAGCCCAGTGGACAGCCGTGGGAGGGCGTTGTGGTGCAGGGGCGGCCAGGGAGTGTCACTGTCTGCTGGGCACAGGGCATTAAGCTGGCAGGTGGAGGTGACATTGGGGCACAGAGAGGAACCAGGCACTCCCACACCACAGGGTAGGGCAAATCTGGTGCTGTGGGACAATGCAGGATGGAGGGCTTCGCGGAGGAAGGGGTATCTGAGTAACTCTGTCCTTGGTGCTGTAAGCCTAGAGGGTGGGGGCAGGGTTGGGAATAGTGGGCGGCACTGACTCAGGTCTGCTGTCCAGGGGAGGCAGGAGCCACTGGCCTCCAGGACCCATGCCAGCTGGGGCATGGAAGACATGTACACAGTTGTCTGGCCACTTTCCTCCAGCCACGTGGACCCAAGGCTTGCACTCTTAGGGGCTGGAGAGCGACCAGGGAGGCTTCCTGGAAGAGGCAGCCTTGGTGCTGGGCCTGGCAGCAATAGCAAAGCCACTACAAGGTGCTGCAGAGCGGGCTTCTGCCCCGGGGCCTGGCCCAGAGCTGTCAGGAAGTGCATCTGATGGGGCGGCCCACAGCGCCCACAGCCCGCACGGGAGAGCGGCCGCCCCACTCCAGGCTGCTCTGTCTCTCGGCCGCCCCCGCCCTGCCCCGGAGGAGGCGTGTGGCGCTGATGGATATGCCGAGGCTGGGCTGCGGGCCGCACTGTCACCAGTGCTCTCCCTCCATACGCCAGAGCCTGACACCCTGACCACTGAGGCATAAAAAACAGAGAATTGCAAGGCTCAGCCTGTCAGGCTGGGAGTGGCCCCCAGAGAGGCCCGAGGAGGAGCAGCACGCGCGCGCGTGTGTGTGTGTGTGTGTGTGTGCGTGCGCGCACACGCGCGCCTGTGGCTGTCTGGAGGCGGGAGGAGGCTGGAAGGAGCAGGTCCAGCTTCATTGTTCCTGCCCCGTCCAGGCCCAGCCCAGTGCTGTAGGCCCCACCTCTGGGCTTCACTGCAGCTGGAAAGAGCATCACCCTGGTGCTAGGTTCTGCTTGCCTCCCTCCTGGGAGCACCGTGGAGGCGCTTTCGAAGCCTGCTGGGGGGACTCGGGCCGCAGGTGGCCTCGTGGGGCTGTGTAAGGCGGGGAGGGCTCACGTGCTGTGGGCGCCTGGGCAGTCAGCTCTCCATGCATCGCCCCCGGGCCTCTGTGTGCATATCCTCAGCCAGCTGCTGGGCACCCAGCCAGGACCCAGGGCCCAAGCCTGGCCTCAGGCGCTCCCAGCCCTGCAGGGGTGCCGTGGGGGATGGGCAGCAAGGGTGTGAAGGACAGGATGCTTACACTCCCTTCTGTCCTGGCTGGTGCTGAACCGGCCCTGCTGGGGCTGCAGGGAGTGCCCAGGAGGTGCCCGAGGCCAGCAGCAGCGCCCTGTGAGTGGCCAGGCCACAGCGAGGGACTCTCGGGGCCCACCAGGCTCCCCACAGCCCATGCACCCCTCAGGGTTCCTGCCTGAGCACATCCAGGGCCTCTCACAGCTGCGCTTGCCCAGCGCCCCGGAAGACTCCCGTCCACTCCCTCTCTGTTCTCCCGGTCCCGTGGCTTGTGCCTTCATTTCCACTGAGTGCCATCTTCCTCCTCCAGGAAGAGTGCCTGGGTGTACATCTCATCTCCCTGCCTGGAGCAGGCATTGCCGGGTTGACAGTGCAGAGGGCGAGACCAGAGCTGAGGTTCCTTTGGCTTCTCTGGCCAGAGCCCCTCAGGTGTGACCAGGGAGCGGAAGTCAGGACTGAGAACCAGGCGGTCTGGGGCCTTGGACTTGGCAGCGTGTAGCAAGGCCATTTCATGAGAGAACCTGAGCCTCAGTCTTCTCACTTGTAAAATGGGCCAGTACCTCAGGGGACACTGAGGGCATGGGAGTTCTGTGACCCACGTGTGATATGAAGGGTTTCAGGGGAAATATACAGTGCTGATGGCGGCCACCCTCTTGGTAAGCGCATGGGCACGACCTGCCTTTATAGGTGCCTGCCGCTCACGGAAGGGGAGAGAGCTACCACACCCCGGCTGGCGGCGCCCAGGGCCTTTTCAGAACTTGCTCTGACATTCGGTTTCTGTTTCTCTCCCCCACCCTCAACTGCAGGGAGTGAGTTTTCCGGGAGTCCCTACAGCCACCCTCAGTATTCCTCGTACAATGACTCCTGGAGGTTCCCCAATCCAGGGCTGCTCGGTGAGTACTGGCAGAGAGAGGCGCCACAGGGCCCCTGGGCTGTCGGCTGCCTGCCTGGACCTTCTCCCCGGGCTGGGCCCCTCGACATCCTAAGGTCTGGTCTCTGAGGTGGGGTGGGGCATGGGGGTCCCGGGGGGCCTGAGGGCAGTGAGCACACTCCAGCCCCATCTCACCCCTGGATGTTTTGTGGATCAAGGACAGCAGCACAGAAGGGGAACAAAAAGCAGAAAGAGCGTTGGGAACAAAAGGGGAGGGGAGGGACAGCACCTGTCCATGAGTGTGTGGTGTTGCCTAAAAATCGTCCTGTATTCAGGTGAGAGCTCTGTAAGAGGCAGGAGAGATGCCAACTTGGATGGATTGGTAGTGGCTGCCTGGAGAACTTGTGTTGATAAGAACTCCAAGGCTCTGTGATTGATCAATGATGTCTGCATGGACACCACCAGGACCAGCTTAGTGGGGAACTGGCTGTTCTGAGGCCTGCCAAGGATGCCACTCAGAGTTCAACTGGTCCCCAGCCTGTACCCACGCCTTGAACTGACAGGCTGTCCCTGACTGGTGCCAATGCTGTCTCTGAATGTCAGCACCCCAGAGGCCAAGCAGGACTAACTCAGCCCTCACAGGGCCAAGAAGAGCCTTTGGGTTTGTTGAAAAACACTCACATGAAACCAGCTGACGAGAGCCAGGTGGGGGGCTGAAAATTCTGGAACATGAAGCAGGGGCCCTGGGCTCACAGGTGTCACTCACCCAGGGGGTGGAGCCAGCCCATCAGCCTGCGGGCAGCACCACCAATTCCTCCCCTGGCAATCGGCTAAGAATTTTGCACTTGGAGCAGTGGAAGGTCAGACGCGGAAGGGCCCTGTGAGACCACCAGGTTTGCCTGTCCAGCTTAACAAGGCCTCCTCAAGTGAGAGCCTGTTAATTCCCTGGGTCCTTAATTATTTTAGGACTGAGAAACATAGACTTCTTCAGAAATGCAATATCCTGGCATCTTCAAACTCAGGGTGCCAGGTCCCAGGGCTTCAGAGGAGGCCGGGAAGTCTCCGCCTCGGCCCCGCCCCAGTCCTGGCGTGGTGATTAGGACGTACGCATGCTACGGACGCCGCCTCGCTTGCTGCCGTGATGCGCTGCACCTGGGACCCGGGCTGCCCAGAGCAGCTCGCTGTGCTGTGCATAACTTGTGGGTGAGATCAGGAACGATGCCAATTAGTGCTGCAGGCCCCTGTGTGCGGGAGACGGTGAGCATCCCACACAACCGGTGTGCGCCCGTTATCTGTAGTCTCCCAGAGGGGCCGAATCTGCCGATTGACCTCCTCTCAGACTCCTGGTTTTGGCTTTGATCAGAATCATTTCTAAGTATTGAACCGGGGTCTCTGCGAACCTGATAGTTTTCCTTCAGCTGACTTTCTGAGTTGGCCCAGCTGTCAGGTCAGGAGGCAGGGGCCAGCCCGGTCAGCTCTATCCCAGCCAGTGTCTTCCCACAGGGATGGGGCAAGGGGAGGGCTCTTGAGGCCTGAGCCTGGGGTCCCTTGCTGGAAATCGGCCTCGGGCAGGGCCCTGGTGCCAGTGCTGCTGGGAGACACACAGGGGATGTGGCAGTAGGGAGGCGGGGGTGGCAGCCTGCAGGAGTGCTTCCTCCCGGTGGGCATGTGGCCCCCAGGAGGCCATGGGGCTGCCGTGTACATGGCAGCGTAGCACCCCAGGGTGACGTGGGGTGGGGGTGGGGCTGAAGTCCAGCCCGGGCTGTGCTGCAGGACAGCAGTGGCCTTCGTTTACTCGCCTGGGGGATTCAAGAGGCAGAGCGCTGGGAGGACATTGTGCGGGAATCCTTTGGAGATGAGGCGCCTCGGACGCCAGGCGGAGCAGCACTCAGGGCTCCCCTTGTGTTGGAGCTGGAGTGTGGGCAGCCAGGCGCCCAGGGGGACAGGGCGGGGGTGCTAGATGGCACCCCAGGCTTTGCTGCCCAAGCTGGAAGGGCATCCAGCTCACACCTGCACCTGGGTTGTGTGCTTCACACGGAGACGACGCAGGCCACGTACCAGGGCCTGGAGGGCTGGGGCGGACACAGTGTGGAGGGGAGGAAGAGGAATCAAAAGTCCATTCCAGGGCCGGCCCCGCAGCTCACTAGGCTAATTCTCCACCTAGCGGCGCCGGCACACCGGGTTCTAGTCCTGGTTGGGGCGCCGGATTCTGTCCTGGTTGCCCCTCTTCCGGGCCGGCTCTCTGCTGTGGCCAGGGAGTGCAGTGGAGGATGGCCCAGGTGCTTGGGCCCTGCACCCCATGGGAGACCAGGAGAAGCACCTGGCTCCTGCCATCGGATCAGCGCGGTGCGCCGGCTGCAGCACGCCAGCCGCAGCGGCCATTGGAGGGTGAACCAACAGCAAAAGGAAGACCTTTCTCTCTGTCTCTCTCTCTCTCACTGTCCACTCTGCCTATCAAAAAAAAAAAAAAAAAAAGTCCATTCCAGTAAACGAGCACTGGTTAATTGCCCCCAGCACTGGGCAAAGCCCTTGGCGTGGGCTACCTCGTTTTATCCTCTTGTGGAGCACGTGGTGTAATTTCTCTGGTGTACAGATGAGGAAAGTGAAGCCCAGAGAGGTTCGTTAATTCAAGTGGCAAAACGAGATCTGGACCTCAGGTCTGCCTGGCCCCAGAGCCAGGGTGTGGCGCGGTGCTCTTCCCTCCGTCCCGAGCTGGTCTCAGCAAAGCCGGGGCTGCAGAGACCGGCCTGGCGGGTCCTGTGCATGATGAGAAAGGCTCCTGGCTATTTTGAAAAACAGGTTACCCTAGGTGTATGCGTCTGTCAGACTTTAAGCTGCAAACAACAGAATCCACTCTGGCTGATTTTAGCAGAAAACAAACTTATTAAGGGTGTCTAGGGGCTCCCAGAATCTTCAGGAGGCACAGGCCCCACAGCCTGGAACAGCGCCCAGCCACATCCACGGCGCCGCCCTAGCAGTGCCACCAGCCGGCGCCCTCACTGCAGCTCCCCCACCCCCACCCCCCAGGCCTTGGAAGCTGCCCTGCCACCTTCCAATCGCAGGCCTGTCACCCTCCCAGTGGGTGGAGCCCTGCAGCCTCTGCCTCCCTTTCTCCCTGCCCAGTCGGGGTCACGTGCAGAACCTTAGCAGCAAGGGAAGCTGGGAGGACACATTCCTACTGCTCCCGCTGCCCGGCTCTGCGATCTGGGAACTCTCGGAGGCCCTCAACCAGTTGGGGCCTCAGTCGCCCCCAGCGTCCCCCGAGATCTGCCGGAGCCTCCAGGGAGCAGGGACGCAGCCCAGCATAGCCTTGCGTGGAGCTGCAGGCCGGTTCACACCCATCAGCCTGCCCTTGCCCACAGCACCCTCAGGGCCCTAGTGGGGAGCGTCCTTCAGGGATTCAGTCTAGGGGCACCCAGCCTGCTCAGTTCTGCTCTCGGGGGAGGGTGCAGGGATGCGCAGACCTGCCCCGGAGCTCCTTCAGATCAGCAGGGCCACTGGGCACACCGCGCGCGTGCTCACACCCGCCGTCGCTGCCAGCACCCCGAGCAGCCTGGCTCAAGCCCCCTCCACAGAAGCACAGTCAGAGCGAGGGTCAGCAGAGCCCATGAGTGAAGACAAGGGCTCGCTGCACGCCACCCAGCCAGTGAACTGCACCCAGGGCCGCCGGGAGAAAGTCGATCAGGGCTGGAATGGGAGCTGGGTCAGAGAGGGAGCTGGCAGAACGACTATGTCAAGAAGTTAGGGGCCAGCGCTGCGGCTCAACAGGCTAATCCTCCACCTAGCGGCGCTGGCACACCGGGTTCTAGTCCCGGTCGGGGCGCCGGATTCTGTCCTGGTTGCCCCTCTTCCAGGCCAGTTCTCTGCTATGGCCCGGGAAGGCAGTGGAGGATGGCCCAAGTGCTTGGGCCCTGCACCCCATGGGAGACCAGGAGAAGCACCTGGCTCCTGCCTTCGGATCAGCGCGGTGCGCTGGTCGCAGCAGCCATTGTGGGGTGAACCACGGCAAAAGGAAGACATTTCTCTCTGTCTCTCTCTCTCTCACTGTCCACTCTGCCTATCAAAAAAAAAAAAAAAAGTTAGGGGATGGGCATGTGAATTAGAGAGGAAGGGCAGAAGGAAGGACACGTTTATTCCAGGTGGACGTCTAGCGGGCCCCGGAAGACAGTGCTTTGTGAAGCGAGGTTTCCAGTTCTCTCTGTAAATGCAAACTCTCACACTGAACCCGCCTGGTGGTCTGGCGCTGGGAGGGGCATGAGTGGCTCCGGGGTGGAGGCAGCCAGGATCCTCTAGGGAGCCTGTTGGGGTTCCCTCGTGGGGGCAGCCCCTGTGGTTGTCCTGGCCCACCTGCAGGCAGGACCCGGGGTTGGCACCACCGATGCCCGCCGGAGGCTCTCCTGCAGCCGTCCCCAGCCCACCCAACAGAGAGCAGAGGAAAGGCTGCCTCGTGTCCCAGAGGTAGGGCTCTGGCCGGGGGGGCAACAGGAGGCAGCCAGGACCCCACCACAGTGAATACGAGAACTCGGGCGTGCGATGGGAGCTGGCGCCTGTGGGATGGCCAGACGTTGCGCCCGCCACTGCTGCGGTGGCCTTCCTGGGCGCTGGGGGAGGCAGTTTGTGAACCTGCTGACCTGGGCTGAGTTTGCAGGGGATCGCTTCCCGATTGGCGTTACGACCAGCAGTGTGGCCTTGGGCAGGTTCCTTAGCCTCTTTGTGCCTTTTTCTTTATTTGTGAAACCAGGGGACTCATAGTTGCTACCTGATGGGCTGGGGTGGACAGTGAAAGAACTAAAGTTTGCAGAGTGCTTTCCTCCTCCTCTCGTGGTGCCCTCACAGGAGCACCCCTGTGGCCCCCTGCGGGCAAGTGGTCTGCTACCTGCGGTCAAGTTCACGCTGCCCTGTGGGGCGTGTGGGTGGTGAGGACAGCCGGGGATCAGAGGAGGGCAGCCCGGAGCGGGTGAAGGGGTGGGAGGACGGAGGTGGGGAGACAGTGGACAGCAGGCCCGGACCCCATCACAGCGGCCTCTTTTGTTCCTCCAGGCTCCCCGTACTATTACAGCGCCGCTGCCCGAGGAGCCGCCCCACCCGCAGCCGCCACCGCCTACGACCGTCACTGACCCGTGGAGCCCGGCGGGCGCCGAGCACTTCCGTCACATATCATTGAGGGCCAGAGCCTCCCAGCCCCCACCCAAGACAACCAGAGGGGCCCAACAAGACCGTCCCCCCATAGCAACCTCCTCGCCATGACTCCCTCCCGCCCCTGCCCCTGCCAGGGACTCCCAGGTTCCCTGGCAGGGACAGTGGGACTCTGGGACACTTGTCTGTTTCCGTGAGCTTCTCCCAGTGGTGACTGGGTCTCTGCAAACCAACAGACTATTCTAGGGACAGCTGCAGCCCAGCCCCCTCCCCTGCCGTCGACCGTCTGTCCGTCCGTCCCACGGCCTAGGCAGACAGTAGAGCTTGCTGTTGCCGCCTCGCCGGCCCCCAGGTACACACCTTCCTGCTCTGCTGTGGCCCCACCCATTACACGTCCTGTGCTGCGGACGCCTCTGCCTTGGCTGCCCCGGTCAGAGACTGCCTTGGCCCAGCTCAGGGCCCAGCCTCCTGCTCACCTCTCCTTCCCTACGCCCTGATTTGGAGTCTCCTGGGGCTGGTTGTACTGCAGGCCTCCCCTGAGAGTCATCTCCCAGGGGTGATGCCCTGGCTTCTGCCTCCTTCCCCCGGGGCCAGGGCAGTGCAAGCCACTGCTTTCCAGATCAGAGGACTCGAAGAGCCTGTCTGGGAGAGTCCTCCACTGCTGACCTAGAGCCAGGTGGCATCGAGTGCTGGTGGCAGGGGGACTTGGAATGTCAGGGCTGGACGGGACACGGGAGATCACTGCTCTGGGCTGTGGCACCTGGGGGTGGAGGTGACGGAGGCGCTCCTGACGCCCGGAGAGCCCTGAACCAAACTGAGGTGCGCCCAGGTTCAGATCACTTCGGATACCACCGTGGACACATCACCCACCCTCCAGGACCCCAGCGAGTGGCTTCCGGCCCAGCAGCACAGACCGTGGTCAACAAGGAGGACTTTTCCTGTGCCGAGGGCCACAAGAACCTACTACCACCAGCCAGAACTTCTGAGCTTGGCCTGTGGCTGGGTGCAGAGGTGCTGCAGTGGGAGCCAATGCCTTGTTTCGCACAGTGTGTGCCCAACCGTTGATCCAAGGAGCGGTGACGCGCAGGGTCACGGCTGAGCGTGGGGTGGGGTGGCCAGAGGAAGCCATCTGGGGAAACGGGGAGGGAGGAAGCCCTCCCTGGGGGGAAGGGCAGGGCGAGCAGGGAGGAATGGGTGTGAGACGGGGAGCAGAGGTACTCGGCGCCACCATGTCTTCTCTGGGGGACTCCACTCCTTGCCATCTCTCTTGCCAACTTGGAACAGCCCACAGCAGCGTCCTGGCAAAGCTGGGCCAGAGCGCAGCAGCAGCAGCAGCAGGCTGGCTCTTCCCCTGTGGCAGTGCCCCCAGTGTCTGCCTGTCACTAGGTGGACAGAGAGGTGCGGCGGAGACGGCACAGCCTGGGAGGCCTGGCCTCACCTCTGCTTCGCCGTGGGGCCTCAGAGCCCCCTTCACCTCTCTGAGCCTCGGCCGCCTAGGGATAGCAGTCACCTGACCACTGCCTCCGTCTCATCTTTCCTCCCAGAGAGCTGAAGCTGTGACCCGGCTCCTGGGCGACTGTGGGGTCGGGGTGGGGCCGCGTCCTCTAGTACCTGGACCAAGTGGGAAGTGACATTCAGAGGCATGGGGAGAACCAGAAGGGTCTTGGCAACGACCTAGTCTGGCTCCCCTCGGGGGGAAACTGAGGTTCAGCCAGAGGAAGCCTGGGCCGTGCAGGGGACCAAGCACGTCTCCTCTGGCCAGCACCATGTGTTTTGTCCATCAGCACCCTCACAGGGTGGTGGGGCACAGGCTGAACAAGATGGGGTTCCCAAGCAGAGACTGGCGGGGTGGGCTGGGACTCGGGGCCCCTGCCCTTGGCGCAGGCTGAGCTCCTCATCACCCCAACCCTGGGAGAGAAGTTCACCCTAAGAGCCGCAGGAGGTGACCGCCAGCAGCTGTGGGGCCCTCGAGCTCACAGAAGGCACACCTACCCCTGGAACCTGCTAGGCAAGGAGAGGAGGTAGCTGAGACCATGCCCACCTGCAGGAGCCAGGAGGCCTGGGTGAGGTGGGAGAAGATCGCTCCCTGGCTCCTCCCTTTGGCAGGAAGTGGCGGGCTTGGGGTCTTCAGTAAGAGCCTTTTGGGCCTCTGCCTCTCCGCTGGGCCCCTGTGTGAGGTGCACCCACATCTTTGGATCTGGGGTCCTCCTGTTGATTTCAGGCTGGTGGGAAGTCAGCCCCCCCCCCCCCCCCCCCCCCGGCAGCAGCCTATGCCGCACGCCCGCCCTCCTTGCAAAGCCCACCTGGCCCCACCGCGGCCTCCTCTCCCTCTCCTGTTTCCTCCTGGCCTCCCTCACCCGAGGCCTTGCCGGTCCTCAGATGGAATTGGTGATTAGCAGACGAGCACTCGGCGCCCGGGCTGCCAGGCAGAAGCACAAGCGCACAGGATGCACACGGACCTTCTCTCTCCCACACACCTGCTCGCACCAGCGGGGGCTTGGGAAGGAGGGCTCCACAGGACGCCAGCCGCCGAGTAGATGCCAGAGAATTCAGGATGGGACACAGCAGCCCGGGGCTTCACCAGCATCGCCGCAGGAGGCCTGGGGCGTTCATTGCCCCCCGGGCCTTCAGCCCGTGTTCCAGCTCTGACTTTTGGAAAAAGGACATTGTGGATTTTGTGAAAATTTTTCATACCATTTGTCTAGCTCCATCTAGGAAAATCTGGTGACATATCAAACCCAACGCCCTGTTCCCAAGTGCCCTAGTTAGGAGCAGCGCTTTCATAACTGACATCGGACGGTGCTTTGCGACCCCCAGCCACTCGATGGGGCAAAGGTCACATCCACTTTCTGGATGGGGAAGCCAAGCTTTGGGGCTCACATGGGAAGACAGAGGAGAAGTGAGTTTGCAGATATCCGGGCCCCCTTCTCTCGCCAGAGTTTGGGGGGTGTATGGCTTAAAGATGCTTACCCGCCAGGCCCGCAGTGAGGAAAGACCAGGAGCTGGAAGCAGGGCCAGGGTTGGTGGCTTTGCGGCCCCAGTGTGAGTCCCAGTAACGCTGACAGCGGCCGCGTCTTTGCGCAGGTTCACAGCGACTCTTCCGAGGCTTCGTCCAGACTTCTCTGTTACACGCTGAGGCTCAGCGGGGATTGGCGCCTGTCCAGGGCCACACCACGACCTGCAGCAGGGCGTGGACGTGGGCTTCCTCGGACTTCCAAGGACCAGGCTCAAGAGCTCACTCTCTTTTTTTCACTTTGCCCACTTAGGAAGAGACCCGGCCTGGCTGTGACCAAAGGCAGGAGTGGCCACGCCAGGGCCATTGGGTGCCAGGAGGCCTGGCAAACACAGTCTGAAGAGTCCTGCATCAACTGCTTCCCAGGCCAGTTGGGTGGCAGAACCTCACACCACCAGACAGGGCGCACGCCACATGGTGTGGTGGAGCTGAGACACCCAGGAGGGCGCTTGCTGCACTGCATAGCATTCAAATGTGGAAATGTTTAAAGCACTGGTAGCCAGAGCTGACCCATTGCCTGCCAGCTTGTCACCTCCAGTCTCTGTCCAATGCCCGTTGCTGCTTCACACCCCGTTATTCTGCATTGCAGGTCAGGAGGAGGTGGAGGTGCAGATGGGCTTCAGGGTATGGCACAACCAGGCCAACCCTGGGCTCTGCCACCTCCCCAGGCCTCAGCCAGGCTCTTGCATACGGTGAGAACTCTGAAGGCGGGGGCCGGTGGTGGGAACCCAGCAACTGCTGGGGGCCTTTCCTGGATAGGGGACGAGCCTTGGATGAGGCTACAGGACACAAGGGAGAAAGCCCTCTATGAGAAGCAGACCCCAGATCGCCTGCACTGCCTTTAGCAGCCACCCCCGGCCTCCAGATGGCATTTCAGCTGTAACAGCTCTAAGCCCTGGGGAGCAAATCTTCAAAACAAACCAAGCACTCCCAACAGACAGCTGGCAGCAAGCTGTGTTTGAGACGCTGCTTCCCAAGAGGGTAGAGAAAGCACCGAGCCCCTGGATAGTCCAGGTCCAGGTTAGACAAGGTGGATCCGTGGGAGCCTGCACTCACTGAGACCAGCTCCACAGCCTTGGCCTCGTCACCCATCTGGAGCCCACCTCTGACAGACTGCAGGCATGCACAGCCGCACTCCTGGTTAAATTTACTCCTTTAGCTCTTTGTGACCTCGGAGAGGTTTCAGGCTAGGTAACAAGGTAGTCACTGGGAAAGTTGGACAGGCCGCGACTCCTGGCAGCCACTGCAGCCCATTGTCCCCAAGCCCAGGATTCCCTCTTGCATATTAATGAGGGAGCCACAGTGCTGATGGGCACTTCCCACTGTCAGCCAGGTCCCCAAGGGCCGCGGCAGCAGAGAACTGCTGGTGAGTGCTGCCTGGCTGGGGAGCGGGTACCAGGTCTTGCATTCATTGTCTGCTGACTTCTCAGCGCCCAAGCCCAGTTCCTGGAAAGAAGTGGACCTCAGAACCAACCACATCACTGCCATTCAGGATTTCAGCCCAGAGGGGCCTGTGTAGCTGATGTCCCAGTCACAGTGAGCTGGACCGTGTCTGTAATTAGTCAACACGGTCTTCCTCCTTCCCCAAGCAGCCCCAGGAGAAAACTCAGCTGCACATCTGCTTAGTGGGCGCATCACAGTGAATTCTGAAAGAGACTTGGCCTCAGGAAGTGCCTTTGGCAGGTGACAGGAGACACAGGGGGCAGGAACCCGCCCTCCAGCTTTGGACAGCTCTGGGCCTGATTTGGGGGGGGGGCGGGGGCAGGGGCTCGGCAGTTCTGTGCCCCCTCTCTGACTCTGGGGTCCATGGGAGAGGCCACTCTGCAGCCTCACTTGCTGTAACCCTGATCCACCTGTCACTGGTGGTGGTGGCCGCTGGGTGCCCCTGCCCAGTCCCCCAAATTGCCATGCTCCTGGTCACGTCCCTCGTTTTCTCCAAAAGCACCATTAAGAACGGATGATTTGGGTGATGGGCTTTTGATTTACAAACGGTGCATTTCCCTTGGAGTGGAACAGAAAGGAAACCGCTTGATGGCTCCCTTATTTTCAAGCATGAATACATTTTAATGAAACTATTTTATTGTATTTGAGGAAACAGAGAGTTGAGCATTCCAACCAATCAATAGCCAATTAATTGCTATAAAGCTAAAAAGAAAATAAATCCTGAGTCTCTGTTAAACACCCTGCAAAGCTCGGAGCCTCAGACTCTGCCTTCCCTCCCCCTGCCGTGTGCACAGGAGCCCGCGTGGGTGCGCGTACCCACACCTGAGATGTACTTGAAGCTCAGAAAAAGCACGGGGCCCCTGCCAGTTTCTGCCTGCTCTCCTTGCCTCTGGTCACAGAGGGGGAGCAGACCTGGTAGCGGCCCGCCACGGGGCTCAGGAAGGGGCAGACTGGGCCCGGCCCCAGCCGCCAGCACAGTGGCTAGTAGCAGGCAGTGAGGGCCTGGCCTTGCCAGGGCCCCTTAGTCGCAGCAGCGGGGCCTCCACGCGTGGGCTGAGGGTGGCATTCTGACTGCATTCACCCTGACTCCTGCTGGAAGACGCTACCCTGGTTTTTCACCCTCGAGTGGCCTTTGGACGTTGAGTAGAAGAGCAGATTGCATTGCCAGTGGAGCTCCTTACCAGGAAAACATGGATTTTGCTTCTCATCCTTTGAGGCAATTGACATTGTCTTAGGGACTGAATTTCCAGCATCAAAGAAATACATATCTACTGTATCCGCCAAAGTTTGTGATGCCTGCATAGACGCTTACTTGTTAAAAAAAAAAAAAAATACAAAACCCAACAAAAAAACCCACAATTGAATTGCCTTTGAAAGTGGGAGATAATCGGTCTCCAACAGATTGAAAAAAAATGCTTCTTAAAAATGTGTATGTTTTGTATTCTTTTTTTCTAGTAGAAAATAACTGACTTGAAATATTGGTGGTTTTTTTTTTCTTAGTGCCGTGTGTTGCTTTTGTGTGTGATACTATTTGAATGTAATTACAGCAGTGCCAATTTGCCAAAGATGTTGGACATATTTTTCTTTGGTTGGGAGGTGGGCAGGGGGCTGGGGGTGGGACTTGGGGAGAAGAACAAGGGGGGGATTTGGTTTAATTTTTAAAAAAAATTTTTCTCGTCAAACCTGGAGTTTGTGGTTTTGTTTTAAGTTAAATGATTGACTGCAACACCTTTATTTTAGATTAGTCGGAGAAACATGCAATAAGATTGGCGTAGTTTCAATATCTGTGTGTCTTTTCATGAGTGACTGTTACTTGTGAAGAATTGGTTTTATGTAAACTTTATGTGAGATAATTATTTGTAAATATTTGCCATAATTTTATTGGTTCCTAAAATAAAAGTAATTTTTTAAGTTCAGAAAAGGCCCTTGATCTCCTTCGTTTTTCCGGTTCCTAGAGGGTCTGTGACAGCTTGGACTGACCGGCGTGGGGGCAGGGGCCCCTGTGGGCAGAGGGCAGCGGGCAGAGTCCACCTGCGAGGCCCCAGGATGTGCAGTCCTCACTCGCCGTGGAGCCTTGGCCGGCTCTCTGAGTGGCAGCTCCTGAGCTCCAAGTCCGTACATTCATTCTAGAGACATCGCTGCAGTGGCTGCTGTGTCCGCAGCCCTGGGAGACAGCAGGGACCTGGGCAACCCGGGCCCCGCACACCCTCACACAGTCCAGTGGGTTGTGGGGAAGCTTAAGTCAACACAGGGAAGATGCTCAGTGATGGTGTACAGTGAGCCTGCACTGAGGCGTTTACCCTTGACCTGGTCCCAACCGCCCAGAACTTAAAGTTGTCTGAGGACAGGCATGGCCTCGAGGTCACTCACGGGGCTGGTGTTGTGGCGCAGCGGGGAGCAACGGGTCTGGTCCCGGCTGCTCTGCTCCCGATCCAGCTCCCTGCTCGTGTACCCGGGGAAGCCCAAGTGCTTGGACCCCTGCCACCCACGTGGGAGACCTGGATGGAGTTACAGGCGCCTGGCTTCAACCTGGCCCAGCCCCAGCCATTTCTGCCATTTGGGGGAGTGAACCAGCAGATGAAAGAGTCTCTCTCTGTATCTCTCCCTTCCTCTCTCTCTCTCTTACTCTGCCTTTTAAATAAAAAAATAATAATAATAAGTCTTAAGAAAGAATGAAGTTGGGGCCGGTGCTGTGGCACAGTGGGTTAACGCCCTGGCCTGAAACGCTGGCAGCTCATATGGGTGCTGGTTTGAGTCCCAGCTGCTCCCCTTCCCATCCAGCTCTCTGCTACGGCCTGGGAAAGCAGTAGAAGATGACCCAAGTCCTTGGGCCCCTGGGAGACCCAGAAGAAGGTCCTGGCTCCTGGCTTCAGGTGGAGCCCTGGCCTTGGGCCCCGCACGAAATGTCATTTCAGTGCTTGGATAGCTATTCAGTGTCAGGACTCAGAGCCCGGGGCACTACCATCCTTCTGCGGGAGGTGCCGTGCCCCGAAGCCTTTAAAACTGGGTGTATGTGGCTGCCGGGTAGCCCAGAAGTGGCTTCTCATCAGGGCCAGGCAGCTGCAGGCCCGAGCCCTGCCCCTGCCGGGCAGGGTCAGCGTGCAAGGGTGGGCAGGGACCTGGCGCCCCTTGGCACAGTGTGTGCAACTCCGTAATTGCCAGAGATGGAGTGGGTGAGTGACCGCGTGGGGGCCGTGGACTGCGGCTCATTCATATTTAATAAAGCAGGCTGCGCGGCCTCCATTCATTTCCACAATGGATGGTGACGAAGGCGATTCCTGGGGGAGAGACGGCCACAGCACAGCGCGGGCCCCTCCATCTCCCCAGTGCTTGCCTGTTAGAGCACAAGCCGCCAAGAAAAGTAGCCGGGTTTTGGAACTGAAATTGGAGTCCGGAGCTCCAGGAGCAGGTGAGGTAGGGCAGGCGCTTTGGTCCCTGAGGCTGCCACGGCCCTGGTCCCTGGTGTCGCAGGGAAAGACGCCTCCCACCTGCCCCTCTCAGAAATGGGGCGTCAGCATCTGCAATCAACAGGGCAGGTGCAGCCCCCCCACCACAAGGGGAGGACGGAGGACAGGCCAGCCCTGAGCAAGGCCCCGCAATAGCCTCAGAGGCCACAGGGCGCTGCCCGCGTCAGGCTCCGGCCCTCCCCTCCCTCGTTCTCCCATGCTGGTGCTGAGTGCGAAAGAGCCCTCTGGAGCGGGGGGAGGCGCCTCGGGGGCACTGTGTGCGAGTCTCAGCGCCAGCTCCTGCTGATCTAAGCAGTCTCTTGACATCTCAAAGAAGCCTTGAGTCTTCATCTGTGAAATGGGGATAAAACCTCATTATCTCAATGGTGTTACAAGAAACAAATGTTGTGCATCGCCTGAAAGCTTTGCCAAGTGAGAAATACGAGTCTCTCAAGATGTTTTCTCTGCCGGAAAAAAAAAAAAAAACCACCTCAAATTTTATACCTCAAAGTCCAACTCAACTCAGAATCTCTCTGTGCTGGGGGCCAGAGGAGGGTGCAATACAGAAGGAACTGCCCAGGAGCGTGGGGCGGGTGACGTGATAGCTGAATTCTAGGCACCACATGACCAGTGTCACGTGTTGGTAAGGCAGGTGCAGAGTGTGGGTCCAGTAGTGGATGCCATTCAGTTGAAGGAGGGCATGGAAAGCTTCCTGGAAGAGGTGGCTTTTGCTCTAATCTGAAAAGAGTGGATAGGACTTTGACAGGAAATTTTATGGCAAATAAGAGTCATTCCAGGCGGAGGCAGCAGTGTGAACAAAGCCGTGGGAGTGAGGAGACCGCTGTGTTGGGGGAGGGGGGTCTGGCCTGTTACTGTGACCTCCCCCCAGCCCCCAACCCAGTCACTGTTTCAAATACATAAAATAATTCTTTAAAAAACTTAATTATCAGGGCCAATGCTGTGGCGCAGTAAGTTAAGCCTCCGCCTTAGGCACTGGCATCCCATGTCGGTGCTGGTTTGAGTCCCAGCTGCTCCATTTCCTATCCAGCTCTCAGCTATGGCCTGGGAAAGCAGTGGAACATGGCCCAAGTGCTTGGGCCCCTGCACCCACGTGGGAGACCCAGAGGAAGCTCCTGTTCCTGGCTTCGGATCAGCCCAGCTCCAGCCATTGCGGCCATTTGGGGAGTGAACCAGCAGACGGAAGACCTCTCTGTCTGTCTCTCCCTGTCTCTCTGTAACTCTGAGTCTCAAATAAATAAATAAAATAAATAAATACAATGTATCTCTTCAGACCCTGTCTCCAGTGCAGTCAGATCCTGAGCCACTTGGGACTTCCACGTGGGACTTTGGGGGGACACATCTGGGGGAACACGCCCTGAGGATCAGACTGCTCTTCCACAGTCACCCCACCTGGGCTGTGCAATGCCGCCTCACCCAGCGCTGTTCCCTCTGCATGTCCAGCCAGAGGCTCTGCCCCCAGTTAACTCCCACAGGAACCCCCAGGTAGAGTCTCCCACTCCCACTCTGCGTTCAGATGCATTTCTGGAGGAGTAGAGTTACTGACAACATGCACGAGACCAGTGGGCTGCAGATGGCTATGTGTCTCGCACCTCCATGTGGAGTGGGACTTTGCAAGCTCAAAAAGATGGAAGCGTCTCAAAGGAGAAGACTGACATATTTAATTCTGTTTACTTTTATGTGTCCCAAAAATCTTAACAAAATACAAATGCCAGGGGCTGGCATTATGGTGCTGTGACTTAAGGCATGGCCTCTGATGCTGGCATCCCATATGAGCACAATTCAAGTACTGGCTGCTCCATTTCCCATGCAGCTCCCTGCTCGTGTGCCTGGGAAGCCAGTGGAACATGGCCCAAGTGCTTGAGCCCCTGCCACCCACGTGAGGATCTGGATGGCTCCTGGCTTTGGCTTGGCCCAGCCCTGGCCATTGCGGCCACTTGGGGAGTGAACCAGCGGATGGAAGAGCTCTCTTTCCCTGGTTCTCCCTCTCCCTCTGTAACTCTGCTTTTCACATAGACAAATCAATCTTTTTAAAAATACAAATAACCAAAAAAGAAACCTAAGGGGTGTGACAAGCTATGATCCCCTTAATATATGAAAATTTTGTATGCAACCATATGAAGATACTACCATCTTCAGCAGGGAAATGTGTGGAAGGACACGCACAGATCATTCACAAATGAACACGTACTATTAGTAAATGTTCAATATAAGTGTGAAGACAAAATTCAAGGTCACAAAGACCCTTTTTTAAAGAAGCAGACTGGGGCCGGTGCTGTGGCATGGTGGGTAAAGCCACTGCCTGCAGTGCTGGCATCCCATTGGGGCACCAGTTTGAGTCCCAGCTGCTCCACTTCTGATCCAGCTCTCTGCTGTGGGCTTGGAAAGCAGTGGAAGATGGCCCAAGAGCTTGGGCCCCTGCACCCACACGGGAGACCCGGATGAAGCCCCTGACTGCAGACCAGCTGAGCTCTGGCTGTTCTGAGCCATCTGGGGAGTGACCCAGTAGGTGAAAGATCGATCTCTTCCTCTCTTTCTGCCTCTGTCTCTCCTTCTCCGTAACTGACTTGCAAATCAATAAATAAGTCTAAAAAAAAAAAAAAGAAAAGAAAAGAAAAGAAAAGAAACAGACCGGTGGTGTGGTGCAGCAGGCTAAGCCCCTGCTGGTGATGCCCACAAGACTGAGTCCTGGCTGCTCCACTTCAGGTCCAGCGCCCTGCTAAGACATCAGGGAAAGCAGTGAAAGGTGCCCCAAGTACTTGGGTCCCTGCACCCACTTAAGAGACCCATATAAAATTCTGCTGTTGTGGCCATTTGAGGAGTGAACCAGTGGATGGAAGAGTTCTCTCTCTCTCTCTCTCTCTCTCTCTCTCTGCCTTTCAAATAAGTCAAGCAAAAAGAACTAAAGGAAACAGCACTGGCGAGGGTACAGAGAAATGGACACTCGTCCCTGTGGCTGAGTGGCTTGATGGTAGGATCCAGAGCCGAGGGTTCGTGTCCCGGCCTGGGTGCTGGTCCCTGGGACGCTGGGAGGAGCGGGGGCCCGGCAGGGCCAGAGCGGGGAATCCCAGGCTACCCCCAGATCTGTGGTCTCCGTATGGCCAGCTGCCAGCGGTTGCGGGAGGCACGCAGAGCCCAGGTCGGGTGGGAAGCATGGCCCCCCGCCCCGCGGGACCCTCTGGAAGGCGCTAGCAGCAGAGGTTCCGCATTATCCACAAACACGTGTAAATATCGCGACGGCTCGTAATGTCACTGAGAAAATCGCCGCCCGTTGTTTCCCCTTCAGTGGTATTTTCTGCTTGGCTGACTTCGCTGCGAGCACGGGAAAGGCCAGCTCATCAGTTCTTGTTGTTAATCAAGAGCAGTAATTGTCCGAGCTCAAAGCCGTCTGACTCAGACTCTGCTGAGTAGGATAACAAGTTCCAAAAACGCTAAGTCGTGGTTTCTATAA